GAGGAAACAGTGAGAGAATTGCATAATTATATGAATAATAACACTAGTGGCAAATGCCATGCTTCGGTGACTTCATTGTTTAGCAAAACAAAGGTTTCTTTTGTTTTTCGATCAATAAAAGATCTCCAAAGATACCCTTGGAAAACTGATTTTTTTTTTGCATACGTTATTTCTCGAAAACAAAGCGCAAATCAACCAAAACAATTACGCAATGATGCTTTTCACGTCAAAATAAGTCAGTCTGCGAAAAATTAGCTCGATCCTGCAAAAAATAAAAATCAGCCCAAAATGCTATATACGCCCTTTTTGCACGAAAGCCTTCAATTATTTAGTTACTGGTCAGTGTTAGCAATTTTTTATACTGAACAGAACATAATTTTATGCCCTTTCAAATCTCCCTGGCTTTTGGCCAGACAAATGAGATTGCATAATTTGCTTGCACATAATCTGTTGACCTTGGCATACATGAACATGTACATGAAGCACAAAGTATCCTTAGCAATGCATTATGGGGTAATTTTCACAAGCAGATGTTCATTAGCCTGCCGCACAGCCAGAGTTTCATACAAGATATATGATATTTGACCTGTGGGATATCAGAACAAGTTTTGGGTAGCCAGGGCACAGATGGTCTGTACCGGCAGGGTTGACTGTCCTGGATTCTGCAGCCTTCCACATTGCCACGTACCAAGACAGTGCTTCAGTCCACCATAATATTAAGAAAATTACATTTTAGGAGATTTGGTAGGTTTTATTATGCTAACAATAATGTTTCAATAACAAAGTTTAGAATCAAGCCACCAGCAGGTAAGCCCCATTCACACATTGACAGATTAACTCTTGTGAGTCAACAAGACAGTGGGTAAAATTAAATGTGAATATCTTTTATTATTTCATACATCTAAGTTTTTGAAGACAATGTTAAAAGACGTATTTAAACACTATGGTTGAATCACACTTCAAAAATAACATAAATGTGCTTGTAATCAGAAATAAAATAAACTTAACTGCAAAATAAGCAAGTACATATATACATGTCTGTACTGTACAATGTATATTACCTACTGTTATTAAAGATTGATTATAACGTAATCAAACTTACTCTGAGGGCAAGGAGAAACTCATCAAAGTCTATAACCCCACTACCATCTTTATCAAAGGCCAAGAACATCTCTTGTAATTCCTACAAAAAGACATTTGTAGTATTGACAATGTAAATGAATTTGTCCCTAACAAAAATTTTCAGAACTACATGTACATGTATATGCTACATGCCAGCAAATTACCTTAGGTTCCAGGTAAAGACCATAATCACGGATACCCTTTTTGAACTCGTTAAAATCTAATGTCCTGTTTTGGTCGTCATCCATAATTTTGAAAACTCTGAAAAAGAGAAAAAAAGTGTAAGAATCATAAACTTTGATATGCACATGTAAATGCTACATTGTGCATTGTAAGTGATCTGATTGGAAAACTTGATGGCGTGTACATGCATTGTACATGTATGTGCTACAGCTATACCTAAAATGTTGTAAGTGTCTCCATTCCTGGTGAGCTGAAAGACCAGTTCCTCAGTGGAACAACTGTATGACCGTCACATTTGCAGCAGAAAAAGGTGACTGCTGAGTGGGGTTTGCCCACATTATTGCAGACAAGGTATATACAACTTCTCTCTTAAAACTTCTCGACTGATTTAGCTATGACCACAAAATCATGACGGAAGAAGAGGAACTGTACATGTAGATGCTAGGGGAAGATATGAAGGCTTTCACTGCCATGATATCTAAGTCAAAACTTTCAAGGCTGGTTTTCAGTATAGCCATGCAAGCACAAGTGGAAGCATACATATAACTTTGGCTCAAGAGAACTTATTTGACCATGGCCATGAAGACAGACAGACCTACAGAACTGGTTTTGCAGTGGATCCAAAAGGCATGGCAAGAGATACCCGCTGATTTGATCACGAACTCATTCAAGTGCTGTGGAATATCAAATGCTCTGGACAGCACCGAGGACGAAGCTGTGTGGGACGAAGAAGAAGCTGGAGAGGAGGAAGCAGATGATGAACTGGAGAACGAGTTTGACACGGATGGCGAGGAGGAAGACTAGACATCAACAAATTTCAGGACAACAACAACAGCTCTTTTCAGAGCCACCCGGTTCTTTTCAGAACCACCAAATCTTAAAAAAGTCAGTGACCAATGTTTAGTGTCTTTTATTTGTCTAGTTTTAACTGTAAGTTCCGGTAAAATTGCTGTCGTTAGATCTTTTTGCGCGAAAATATTCGGCTACAAGGCGCACCCCAATTTTGGCAAAAACTTCCCAAGAAAAAACAGATTTTCCTCGAAAAAACCGTGCGCCTTATTACTGAGAAACTACGGTAATGCAAGCATACATGTACGCTCAAAGGAAAGGATTACATTTTCCCCCTTCTTTGTGATTAGTCATCAAATTGCTCATGTCGAAACAGACCACAGTTTAAGCACAAGGGTTTGTATCATTGCTACGTGTATGCTTGCACTTAAGGTTGTGCAGGTGGGAACCGGGTTTTAGCCAATAAACATTTAAAAGATCTCACTATAAAAAAGATAAAAGTCTGGACATCTGTAACCAGCTTGACTATGTGACCATTTAATGAAATTGTTTAACAGTACTTTTACCATCCTGTGTTGATTTTCACGTAGAGGGTTGTTCGAAAAGTAGATAATGCTATCCACCGGATAAATCACCATCCAGTGGATAGCATGGTTTGTTTTATTAACACTCATCCACTGGATAGCTACACTGTACTTATCCGGTGGACTGCGTTGTCAAGCCTTCGAACAACTGAGACCAAGTCTCTACTTTCACTGTGTTAGTCTCTTGTGGGGTTACAGTTCAGTTTTCACTCTATAACTTATCACTCCTCTTAATGGGTAAACAGTCAAAGAGTTGTCGGTTAAGCTTACATTTTAGCTACCAAGAAATGACAGGGAAGCAGTGCTCTTTGAATAACCGACTGAGTTTGTGTTTTAGCCTGCTTTGTGCGAAGAAATCTGCTTGATCTCAGCGTCCACAACAGTCCAAAAAAATTTT